ACTCTACTCTACTCTACTCTACTCTACTCTACACTACACTACACTACACTACACTACACTACACTACACTACACTACACTACACTACACTGTGCCATGTGATTCTATTCTATTCTACTCTATTCCAGGGCAATACAGATCTTGTGTATTGATGTGTGCAGATATTTGTTCTCTTTGTGATAATTGTGGAAGGGACCTTAGTGACCTTATTATGTTTCCTTTCCCTTTAAACCAGACTTGCACCATACAGCCTTTTCAAAAGAGATTGTTTTTAATAATGCTGCATACTCTAACATTTCTGTGGCTTTGGAGATAAGAAATCATAGATAAAGAATCAGAAGTGCAGGAAAGGAGTGACAAATAGTCAAGCAAACAAAATTTAAATCACGATATAAAGCAATATAGCTCTATCCTCTTCTCTTTCAAATGTAGGATGACTTTTATGAAACAGAACATAAATTATTTTCATTTTAGCTGCACTGTATCTTATCTTCCTCAAGGTATTGCACCAAGATGTTGTTGCTGTGACGGATGAAATCTACTCAATTTCTTAGTCATAACATGGGATTATTGATAATAATATCATTATTGATGGGATAATTGTTTGCTTTTATTTTTTATTAATTACTCTTCTTTTCGCTTTCTAAGCCGCCTGGAGTCCTCTGGGATTGGGCGGCCTATAAATCTACTAAATAAAATAAATAATAAATAAATAAATTATTTAGTTGTTCTGCTGATATCTTTTTCAAGGAAGGAGGGGTTACTTCAGTACTGTGGAGCTGGGAAAATATTTTAAATTTACTTTTTGCTCACTTTGAGAAGAGCAGAAAAAAAAAGCCATGGTGGCACAGTGGTTAGAATGCAGTACTGCAGGCTACTTCTGCTGACTGTCAACTTCCAGCAGTTCAGTAGTTCAAATCTCACCAGCTTTGAGGGCAGAGGAAGACAGAAAGGAAGATATCAATTTTTCTCTCTCTATTTATCTATAAGTCTGTACTTGTGACATGTCAGAACTTCATTTCAGAACAGGACACAAATTCCATCATACAAATGGAATATGTTTTTGAAGTGTGAACTAAACTTTCCAGTTTTTGCAGTCTTTAATGCTGATTTATTTATTTGTAGGCTGCCCCATTCGTAGAACCTGGGGTGAGTTATGTTTTCTCAGAGCCACAAATATAAGGTGCTCAAGTGAAAAAAGAAGTAAATAAAATCAACAGACACCGGAACCTTCAACCCAACTATAAACTGAACATCAAGCCATTAAAAAAAAAAATCACTGTAATTCTTAAAGTGGCTCATCTATGAATGTTTTACTCATTAAGGAAGACACACATTTGCCATAGGAAGTCTCTACCAATCCTTCAGTCCCAGTGCATGTGCCTTTCTTTTAAGTCAGTATCCCTGACTTAAATATGCTCATCTGTTTCCTTGTATGCAGTCTGTGGACACGTATTGTGAACGCACACGAAATACAAAAGCTATGGAATTATCTTCACATTTGGGGAAACCTCTAGTGGGGAACAAATCTGGGCCAGCCACATCTTGGTTGCCTCTAAGCTTGCCTTCAGTAGGTGAAACAGCATTTTTGTGATTCTTGGCTTGGTGACAGAAAATTCCACTCTGTAATAATCTAAAATAATTGGGGGCTGCAGTCTATTATTTCACTAATTCAACAAGGGTTTCTCAACATCGACAATTTAAAGTTGTATGGATTTCAACTCCTAGAGTTTCTGTAACCACATGCTGGCCTGGGGAATACTGGGAGTTAAAAGTCCAAACATCTTAAGTTATGAAGTTGAGAAACACTGAATTAGAGTAACATTTTGATTGACTGATGTACTGGGCAGGTAATTTAAATTATTTTAAAAACCAAGGTTTAATAAGCAATTATTTTAAGAGGCATTCCTTCTTGCTAAGAATGAAAGGGGTTAGAATGCCTCTTTCTAAAATTGTATTGCATGTATGGTTTCTTTCATCCGAGACAATTAAGTTTTTTTTCCCATTTCCAAGTCTATCTCTGTTTAACCAATTCATGTACTAAGTGACATCACTAATGAATGAATCCATTATGGGTGTTGCGATGAATGTCCTGAAAAATAATACTTGACATTGCTAAGGACCCTTGGCACTTAATACTGCAATTTGTAAGCATCTAACAGAGCTTTGCACAGATTCTAGCACTAAACTCCTTATTGTGGCCTTGGTCAGAGAGGTCCACCTGACATATGAACGCTTGTTTCTTCCTAGGTTTGGGGCACATGCCTGTCTCAGAGCTCCTGGAACTCCTGGATCGAGTGGAAGGTGCTATTCAGGATTACTCGGAGGAGCTGGTGCAGCAGCTGGCTTGCCGAGACGAGCTGGAGTTTGAGAAGGAGGTGAAGAACTCCTTCATCACCATCCTGATGGAGGTGCAGAACAAGCAGAAAGAACACCGAGAGATGATGAAGAGGAGGAGGAAAGAAAAAGGGCTAAGTCTGCAAAACAATCGGATAGAAAGGGCAGCTCAGATGCCCCTTAAGGTTAGCGAGAATTCCCCGAAGATGGCTTTCAGTTAAAAAAGGAGGAGCAGAAATAAGAACAGCAGAGTTTTAAGATTCCTGTCGCCCTCCCCATCTTCCTTTTAAGATTGTTTACAGACTCTCCCAATGTAATTTCGCTAGATGTTCATTTGGCTAAGGGGGCTGGGAAATAAGCAATTGTTGTGACAAATTCACAAAGGTGTTGTGTTATAAGCCAATGGATCAGTGAATTCTTCTCCAGTGAGAATGTGGTGCTGGCTTCTGGCTGATGGTCTAGTTATTGCAAAATTATCCTAGAAGGGTTTTTAGGATACTCTTAGCAATTTATGACTGAAATACTTCACCCTCCACAATGGTTTTGCAGCTTTCACCATCCAGGATCTTCCAGATGTGAAAGGAATGGTAATACACAGAAAATCTAACCAGCTGAGAAATTGCCTCTGGTTCCCAACCCATCTTGGGGTGGGTGGGGGGACAAATTAGGGAAGACTGATCTACTGGTTTCTTTTAATTGGAATTTCTCCACTCATCTGGTTAATTTTATATTGGGGTATAGATATGGTATATACAGTATGCAAATCTAGGATCTTGGATATAAACTCTTCCTTAGAACATGAGTTGCGCCATTAAGGTTTACTGCTGGTACTTCCTGTTGTTGAGCTGTTGAGAGTTGTGGTTTAGATGCATATCAAGAGCTCCAGTTTTTTCATCCAAGGTGTTTTTAGTTCATGGAGAATCTGGATGTTATTTTACTACCAGATACTTTTCAACTCAAAATCTATAGGGGCAGAACGGAGATGAACTTTGTCAAACTTCTCCTCCTTCTGCTCTGCCCAATGTGTTGTATACCCAAATATAACACAGTCTTGTAGCAGCAACTAAGAGTCTTAAGAAAAAAGCCCTCAGAGTTCTGTTTTCTCCTCTTTGTAGCGGTTCAGTATGGAAGGAATTTCAAATATTCTGCAAACTGGAATCCGGCAGACGTTTGGAAATTCAGCAACTGAAAAACAGGTAAGAGTGTAATAGTTTCACCCAGAATATACAGTTTATCTGAAGTCAAGGTTACGATTGTTGTTGCTTATTTTATTCATTTATTTATGTATATGAATGTATATGGTCACCCAACTCACTCACAGTGACACTGGGCGGCTTACAGGAATAAAACCCCAAATATAAATCACAAGATGCCTCCATGGCCCTGGCAAGATCATCCAAACGAACCACTTGATGAACTCCATAACGACTTGGATACCCAGGTTTGCTGGCAAAACCATGTCTTCAATGCTTATCAGAGAAGTTATCAAGGCAGAGACCAGTCTTATCTTCACAGGGATAATGTTCCACTGGGATGGGACCACTATGGAAAAGGGTCTCCTTCTTGGTCCCACTAGGTGAACCTCTTTGATGATGGGTACCCATATTATACTCTGACTCCCCAATCGAGGTGGACCGAGTAGATGTATTTGGGAAAAGATGCTCCTTCAAATAACCTGCCCCCCAAGCCATGTAGGGCTATAAAGATGATTTGCAATCAGTACCTTGAATTGTGCCTGGAAGCAAATCAGCAACCAATGCAGTCCCACAAGAGAGGTGACATATGTGGGAATATAGACATGCACAAAGCCATGTGGTTCGTTGCATTTGAAGTACCGTAACTGAACTTCCAGACACTTTTCAAAGGCAGCCCACGTAGAATGCTGAAACAACATTACCATTTTGTAGAAAGTTGGTCTTGACCAACCGAAGGTAGTCTTGAGATTAAGGAACCCAGGGCCTTGTCTTTTGATCCCCCTGGCCAGTACTGTTTTCATTGATGACCTTTTTCACGCTTCCCAACCCTCTGGCTGGTAATGACACAGATTATATCTGGTTATCTTCCCTGAAAAACAGAACGAGAGCGTCTACATCTACATCTGCTTCACACAATCAGTAAATAAAATACGTTTTTATCTTATTTACTGATTGTGTGAACTGTCTGTCATGCCTCTTTTGGAAACAAAGCAAAGGTCGGGATGGTTATTTCTGATTGGAAGAATGGCTAGGATTTATAACTACCAGTATTTCTTTCTTTTTTTATTAATTTTTTTTATTTTAAAACAAACAAAAACAAACATACATACATACATACATACATACATACATACATACATACATACATACATACATACATACATACATACATACATACATATATATATATAATCAATTACATATCTATTTAG